GATTGGCACGAATCGGTAGGACAGTTGGCATTTGTGTAACGTTCGGCGAGTAAACTCCATTGATGAAAACTTCTTGAGGCCAATTATTATTTTTCAAAACAAAATCTAAGCGTTCCGAATGGCGCATGATGATAATACGAGGTTTATGTGTTTGTTGATTCATCGTTTTCTTTTTTTTTTCTCTCAATAAAATTATGATTTTGTAAAAGTAGTGACACTTCTTTTTTGATTTTTTATATGTTAAATATGTCGCGAAAAGAAAATCATCGAAGCGAATCTTTAACCATGCATAACTTATTCGAAGAGAAAAGAAAAAGTGTATTTTTCGATGTCATTACCTTGGTCTGTTTTTTTTTCCTTTACCTCATTTCTTGGCCCTGACATATGAGAGTTCGATACAGTTAATTACTTGAAAAAAAAGTTCATATATAGGCATAGAAGACAAAAGGAAAATATTTTTCTTCACTGGAAAAGTTTTTCTTTTCATCCGTGAACTGGTCGATTGGATTTGTTTCTGACAATCTGATTGATATTCACATAGCATAAGAAGACATATCCAAGGACAAATAACACAATCATTGAAAAACAACGACGAGGCTATAGGATTGAATAATTGCCCGAAAATATCTTCGAAATAATGGGAAATTGTTTAATTGGACCAACGTCCTTGTCGTTTGAGTGAAAACAATCCATTGACGAGCAACGGTTCGTTTCAAGAATAGCTTTACTTTTACACCTATGCTATAAAAATGTGAGAGAGTAAAAGATCGTATCAAGTCAGATTTCATATCTCGAAGAAATCGTGACCTTTCTTTTAACATAAAAGCATCTTGTCCTGATAGGGACGTTAAAAACCTGAATTGAATATTCTTTTCAAATAGTCTGAATAGTGATCGTAAATGTTGAGATATTACAGTCTGCTTGATTTCTATACAAATCAAAGTTACTGAATCGAAAGGAGACTTGAGAGCAAATATAATTCGATGAAAACAAACGTAATAATATCTCGCGAACGTTTGCATCATCATCAGCGTCGTATTTATTACGTATTCATAATTATTTGTCGATCTTATTAATTCAATGGTTTTGATAGCCAAAGTGCATTGAGAGCGAAAGAAAAGCCTCACCGTCTGTTTATTTGTTTAGCTTAGCATTCATACAAGGTTTCGAAATCAATTTTGACAGGATTATCTATTCAAGATTCATCAAGTATAGATGGCAAAAACAACTATCTTCAAGTCATGTGATCGTTGGCGAACGTCATAAATTCTTGTGATGACGAAATGCAATGTACTTTTTTTTTAAATGAAATAATCAAAAATAAGAATGGGACATCGTCATATCTATTGAGCAAATTTTACACCAGTTACCGATGTATGCATGAATAACTGCAATGCGAGTGTGTCCGCGCACATTCTTGACGTGACGAGAGAGAAAGAGACTCTTCTGCTTTTATGATAATCTAAATCATCGTGTCATCGACACAAAAGATAACAGCTGAAATTTTTTCTCATGAGCGAATGATTCAATATGTTCATCAAAAATAAACAAGCGTAACTCTGTAATACCGAGAAAATGCTTTTCACCTTTGCTCTTTCTCTCTCTCGCTCTCACTCACAAATGAAGCATGGTTCTGTTCAAAGATTCATTAGAAAGATAAGAATCAATATAAAATATAATAAAAAACATGTTATTTTCCTTCGCACTCAACACATATGATTTCAGGTACGGTCATCATATGCAGCGAATATTTCCTAACATCTGTACCGAGATTGACATTTCTCTGTACATTTTATTTCATTCAAACAGATGCATTCCCAAGAGTCCCATCAACACCATTAGATCGTCCATCCTTGAAAAGAAGAAATGTCCATTTTTGATTACATACGTTGACATCTTATACACCAGTCACCTGCCCCGCCTTTTTTTCTACACACGACAATTGATCATTGATCGTCATGATTCGTTCTCCTTTTTTGACCTGATTGCAAGCGTTTGACAGAGATATAAACATTAATTTTGAGCATTAAGTGGCCACGTTGAACTTTTCTTATTACTTTTGTAAAGTAGAAAAATACCCATTCGATGACTTGTTCATCTAGCTACTAACGCCACATGCTTACTCATTACAAGGCTAGAATATTGACAAACGTTCATACGTGCTGTGTTTTTAATGTACAATTGACATTTGTGCACACGTTAGGATATCGATGACGTAATCAAACATCGGTGATTTCGAGTCAATGTAACTGATTTTACATTTATTAGCTAGGTCTCTCTTTTCGTACAAAGAGAAAGAAAAAGAAATTTGATTAGCGTTTTTTTCCCAACATATCGATTAACGAGTCAATTTGACCAGAACAAAAGACGCGTGCGAGAAGAAAGAAACAATCTCATATACATATATATTAAAGAGGAAAATCTTATGGTGGGAAGAGATACTGCTGTTACAAGTACATCCATTGATCATCGCTTCTCTCTTATCTTATGTAAGATTAATTTTTAGCTTGATTGATTCCTGTAGTTATTCGAGTTTTCTTTTCCAAATTCTTCTGCTTTCAGCGAACATGCAATGCCTACTATTGGAGTTAATCTTTTCGGTTTTGTTATTTTACCTTGGACAAGATAAATCAAAATAAGTTCGAACTACGTGTATCATTAGCCGGCGATGTTCCATTGCATGTGCCAATTTCATCATCAGCATAAGTAGACATGCAATGTCGAAGACGGAGACTCATTCCATGTTCACTAGGATGATTATGTATCTTGATGACATCCTATCAATTAGAGCTTAATCGTTATTTGTTTATTTTGACTATGTTTAGTCCATATGTGACTACTCTCATCTATCAATAATCATTACACAAGTTGAAAGAAATGACTTATTCAATTTACTATCCAACACCTAACGTATGGACATATATTCTCAACCATAAATCTCTAATGTTGTTCAAAGAGAGAAAGAGAGATGATTATTGCCCTATAGAAAAGAGGAATTCATTACATATGGCTTCATTTTCATGTCCATCTGTAATGGAAAGAGATAAACAGACGATCGATGTTGCAAGAAATAAACAGATCATGTTGAAACAAAAAAAAAAAGAAAGAAGGAAAATTTCCATGTCTCTCCTTTGCATGTTCAGAGTGAAACAAACAAATAGAATTGATTCAATCACTTAAAGGAACGACGCAAGTCCGCGTCGGTCATGCATAAAATACCGAAATACAAAGGGCAAGCATTCCGCCTAGTAGAAAATCATTTCCTGTATTGCTATGCAAAACCTTGAACTGTATTACAAGCGAGACAGACGCTCACTTGTCGTATTCATCATGATTACCAGCAAACAGATGATGAGCGACATCGACGAGGAAAAATGTGTACTAGTTTCAAGACTATTACATTTGAAATACTAGCGATAAACAATAACTGCAGAGAAAAATGCCCAAATCGAAAAGAGCACTTTTGGACTCGTAATACCTTTGATTTGTGCTGTTTCCTCTCTTTCCTTTTCCTCTTCTTTTCTCTCATTCTTCTCCCTCTTCCTCTTTCCGTTATAGATAGACGTATATGTTTGCTCGTTTCTTGTATTCAATTGATTCTGAACATGCTACTCAGCTTGTTTCTCGTGATCAATTTCTTTATCTCTTCTTCTCACTCAATTGTATCGCAAGTTCTCTCACCCGTATCCATCTTTGAAGAGAGTCCATTATCAACCATTGTCGTAGACCTTCGTCCAATCTTCCAAACACTGGACGTCTACACGTATCAAGCTGCATTACTTCACAGTCAACCAAGTCAACCATTCGAATATCTCAATGGATATATTCGATTGAAATCTCGACTTGACCGAGAAGATTACGTTCGAAAACGTTTGTGTATCGGTGGAAACGTTCTTCAATGCAATTTTACATTAACATTGACCGTTAATCTGAATCAGACGCCATTTAATTATATTCTCTCTCAACCAATTTCATGCCATGATATCAACGATATGATTCCGAAGTTCTCTCAAACGGAAGCGAAAATATTTATGGCGGAAAACGTTCCAATCGGTCATCGAATTCCACTTGAAACAGCCATTGATTTAGATTCGCCTCCATATGGTATTGATCATTATCGTTTAGAAACAATCGATGGAAATGATCAATATCAATTTTCGATTGTTTATGATAATCAAAGTCGTGAATTAGAATTGATTGTTAAGGAGCGGTTAGATCGAGAAAAGATCGAAAAGTATCTACTGAAATTAATCGCAGTTGACCGAGGTCACCCAGCCAACATCGGCACACAAACTTTAACAATCGAAATCACGTAAGTTTTTTGTTTTTAATGCAGAGTTCTCAGCTATTTTCTTTTCTTCTCTCGCTAGTGATGTCAATGATTCTTCTCCACGCTTCGAATCTTCGGTATACAATATTAGTGTCGCTGAAAATACAATTCCGGAGTATCTACTTAGACTTCAAGCGGTTGACCAAGACACAGCAATGAACGCTGAATTGACTTACACATTAGAAAATGATTATCAAGGCTTGTTTCGTTTGGACAAAACCACGGGCATTCTAACATTGAATCAAGCACTCGACTATGAATTACATAAATCTTATCAACTTAAAATTGAAGTCATCGATAACGGAATTAGTTCGCTAAGTGATACATGTATCGTCTATGTTTACGTACTTGACCAAAATGATCATGCTCCGTCAATACAAATGAAATTCAATCCTCTCTTGGAACATAATCACAATGGAAATATGGCTTATGTAAAGGAATCATTTGATATTAATCTGCCCATCGCATTTGTGACTGTCGATGATCAAGATTCGGATGAATACGGTCGAGTAAGTGTACTTTTCTCCTACTGAAACATATCGAAAAGTACTTTTCCTATAGTCGCAATTAACAATCGAACCACATCGATTGTTCTATCTGGAAACAATTCGACCGAATTACTATGCAGTGAAATCCTTCCGTCAGTTCGATCGTGAGACAACCCCATTCTATCAAGTTGAACTACGCGCACGTGACTTCGGTCAGCCAAGTTTACGTCGTTCGATGACATTCGAATTGAACATTACTGATATCAACGATCAAAAACCTGAATTCAAGTCGAATTACACATTCGACCTAGTCGAAAATAATCGCGTACCGACAACGATCGGTCATGTTACTGCCTACGATTTCGATCACGGTATCAATGGACAGATTACATATTCGATCGTTCCGCCATCGCCATTGTTTTTCATCACGCCAACCGATGGCATTCTGACAACGAATACATCGTTTGATTATGAGACTAAACGTGAATATCAATTTCAAGTACGTGCCAATGATCATGGGCATCCATCGTTAGAATCGTTTGTTACTGTTCAAATTAATATAATCAACATCAATGAGTATTCACCTCAATTCGAACACGATCATTACGAATTTTCTATCAAAGAAAATGAGACCGTGAAGTTTATTGGACAAGTCAAAGCATTCGATCGAGATTATGGCGATAAGATTACTTATTCATTAGGTAATCATGAAGATTTGTTTATCATCGATCAAAATGGCAAAATTTGGACACAGATGATTTTCGATCGAGAATTACAAGATGAATATAAATTAACAGTCATTGCAACAGATAACTCCACAATTGGATCGACGAATGTTATCATAAAAATACAGTGAGTTGCATACTTTCAGTTGATCAACAAGGAAGTTCTTTCCATTACAGAGATGTCAACGATAATCCACCGGTCTTCGTTTGGCCTAACACGGATGAGATTCGTCATATTCTTTTCGACGAACATTTTCAGCGTATTGATCATCAAAATCCATCGTCTCAGTTCATAACTGATATCATCGTCCAAGACAATGATCTTGGGAATAATTCACACGTGAAACTATCGGTCATTGACAACGATCTGTTTTATATCGGTTCAAACAATTCTTTATGGCTAAGAAATTCTTCCACCTCACCCGGTAGTTACAGTGTTGAACTTCTAGCGAAAAATTATCAATTTGAAACGAAGAAATTGTTACATATTATCATCAATGAACACAATCCTCTTGGATTTTATTTATTCAATAATATGAGTAAAACATTTCGAAGATTTCCGATCTTATTCATCATTATCATCGCTGGTATTACCGTCTGCTTGCTTAGTTTTATCATTACGTATTATATATGTATGAGAAAGAATGCACGAAAACGATTGTATGGAAGTCAATTAATAGTTAATGATGAAGAAAAATCTAAACAAAATAGTCCACGAATGAAAACATCGAGCTCGGTTATTCTCCCATCGATTCATAATAATAATTATACTGTTATTGCTAAACAAAGAAAAGTAAGTTATGCATGGATGTTTATATCTTGAGAGTGTCATGACTTTTTCTCTTTTGTCTGTGGAGTATGTATATCAACAAGAAGAGTGTTGACCTTTACCTAAGATATAAAGAGAGATGATTGTTTTTTGCTCAACTGACCGCATACGTTTCGTTCTATTAAGCCATGTGGCATCGAGTAACCTTCTCGGATTCATTTCGACCGAAAACATTCTTCGATCTAGCATTGAACACGTCAAAGAAAATGTCTTGTACTTTAGAATTCTCAGGCGCTATCTGGAAATAGTCCTTCAACGACGGATGGCGAGTTTTCTTCATCACTTCTCTCCTGTCCATATAATGGCGCATCATCATCATCAACATCTGATCTGGATCGTTCGCATAACCATCATCAACAACAATCGACATCATCGACTGTTTCGGCATTGACCACTCTAACACGAAAATCAGCAAAAAATGTTAGCTTTCAACCACCATCGGTGATTCCAGCTCAAAATACTTACACTGATCTATTACAAAAACAAACATCCACATTTAGTACATTACCAAAACAGACGACACGTGAAATCATAATATCGAATCACAACTCATCTCTTCTGCCCGAACTATCTCGAACGGAATCGAATGGTTTTCCAACATTACAAACTATTCTTAATCAATCGGCAAAAGATCATCAGACCAAATTACCACAACCGCCCCCGTTACTCAATGGCATCATCCTAATCGATGAAATGCTTACGAAATCATCGATATCGAACAGCGACAAAAATCACATTGTCTCTCCCGCATCATCGACGAATAATCGAGGGTGGTACAACATGACTTCTGATTATCAGACACGCGCTAGTATTGTATAGATAGTTATCATGTTGTTGTTATTGTCGAATTAAGTGTGCTTATATTTCCTAGTCGTTGTTTCTGTTTTCTTTTTTCTATTTGTATAGAGAATGATTTTAATAATAATAAAAATGAAGAATGTTGCTTGTATGTGTGAAGAAACATATTCGAATCATGCGCCACGGATCCCTTGGATGCATTGCTCAACTCGACATATTCGTTTGTTCTGCGTAGTTAAGTGAAACTTCAAATGGCATCTCGTTGACAAAAACATTTCTGTTTTTTTTAATCGTGTTTTCTCTAAAGAGGTCTCTGAAATTTAGTAATTTACTAGCGACATTTAATCGATTAAATCGGATCAAATAAGCATTGTTGTCAAGTATTAAAACATAAAAATGGTAAAAGTGTTTTTGCGCTATTCCGACGACTAATTATGGCTCAGATTATTACAACGCAAGCGCGTCATCCAAAGAACTTGACCTCGAAATCAATTTCTCGTGTCAATAAACTACCGAGTATCGACCGTAAAAAACAAGACAACTATCCCTATCATTTAGAACGACTTCCTAATTTTCATACAAGTCTTTATTTGGATGCTTCAGAAACGGGTGATAAGACATCAAGACCTTTGGAAAATCTCGTGCATGAGCAAATCAATGGTAGATTGTATCAATGCGAGCATCCATCTGTTACTAGCAGCACAGTTCGTTATAGTGTAGCTCCGAGTGGTAGCCATCATCGCCTTTCTCACAGCTCTCGATTTCTTTCTACATTGTTTTTGTTCAGGTGTTCTACGCTCCAATGAATATCAGACTGAGTCTCAAAACTATTTTTCTGATCAAAATTGTGCATCATTTCTATCCAATGTAAGCTCTGAATCCGGTAGCCAGTATGGATCATCGACGATACACGGACTATATCACAGTTCATTTGGTACAACCTATCAAAAACCCGCCGACAATCAATTCGGGCAAAGTAAAATGCGTACAAGGCTTTGAAGATTAATTTTCTCTTGCTTTATAATTCTCAGATTCAACGACGTCAATATACGAAGCTTATACCAGTGATCCATTCTTCAAATCTCATAGTTGTTCAACCCTTTACGACAAACGTTCACCCGATGTAATTAATTGGGATCGTACGCAACCACGGAATCTTGAACATTATCGAAAACCTATCGATAATATTAAATCATCACCATCATCATCGCTTGCAAAACCAATCTCCACGTACACTAAATCTTTTGGAGGGTATAAGTCACTAACTTCGAATACGGCTCTTCGAGCTGAGCAACCCAAATATTCAAGCAGTCTTTTGTAAGTTGTCAGTCGCAGTTTCTTTTATATATCTTATTTATCAAAGAACAAGAAATTCTCGTTGGATTCGAACCAATCCTATACCTAATGACGATCTAACTGACAATCCCTACCTGACCACAACAGCTGACGTTTACAAGTATATGATTTTAGGAATTAAACTTGTTCTTTCACGCATGTCCTCTGCTTTTAGAGTACTTCCTATCGATTATCTATCTCCTCGTCATTCAAGTATACACGGCATTTTCTCGAAATCCATCAGTAATATCATGCCATACAATCCCTACAACCCCGTGCATCATACGAGCGAAACAGCGAACGGTTCATTGGATTCTCGACCGCATCTGGTTCTTCAACAACTACCTAGAATAAAGCTACCACCAGTCGTACGCCCTAAACCAGCGGCAGAACCTGCAGCTGAAAGGGAACCTAAAACCTAAAGGACAAGATTTTATTTTTTCTAAAAGTAGTCCTAATACTGAAATAAATCGATGCGAAGAATAACTTCAATTTTTCTTTCTGGTCGCGTAAAGATGATTGTGCTACAGTTCAGAGATGTCGTTAGAGTCTGTTCTATATCAAATCACTGTTGCTGGGTTACACACGACTGAAATAAGACAAACATGGTGTAAGACATAAAAAAAACGATTACTGAGTGTTAATCGAAAAAAAAATGACAAATGACATCGAAACCCAAGCGGATCTGTTCGAATTTGACGACGAAGATGTTTTATCTGCTACATCTTCCGCTGATCTGAACGACGAAGTACCACACGAAGATTTACCTCCTGAGTTATATAACCAAATCAATGAATGTCTTCAAATTGAAGAAAACAAACAAGATGATGAACTAACGGAATTCATAACGAAAGCACGAGAACAGGGTTGTAACTGTCTTGATCTATCCAAAAGGAGTATTGCTCAATTTCCTGTCGTTTTACTCGAATATCCTTCGTTAGATGTAAGTCCATGTCAAACTCTCCATCGTACACCGTTTCGTTGTAGTATTTATATTTAGAAGGTAATCAATTGACAGAACTGCCCGATGATTTATTTCTCTCCTTGCCAAACTTAAAATGGATCGATCTACGGAACAATCAATTAACTCACATTCCTTCAAATGGTCTCACCAAGCATCCATCCTTGAGATATTTGTTAATTGGCGGGAACTTCATACGTGAATTACCTATTGAACTAGGTAAAATTGCTTTTTGTTTCTTGTCGTTCTATAACTTGTCAGTTTTCTTCAGGTAAAGTAAAACATTTGTCAACTCTCAACCTTGATGGTAATCCATTAGAATATCCACCAGCGGATATTGTTAAACAAGGTATTAAAGCAATTCAACAGTATTTACGTGATGAATATGTTCGACAAGATACATTCGATTCCGAAGATGAAAATGATCATGAAGAACAACAGCAACAACAACAACAATTCGATATCGTTCCCGATGTTTGGGCATCCGAGGATGATGATGATGGAAAAGATAATCAGCGGCAAAAAGCAAGGTTCTTATCTGTATTCGGATTTGAGAAATCGACAGATCTAACATTCGATTCGTTCAATATCTATAATAGCATCTCTAATCATCGGTCATCTAACGATTTAATTAAGATGACATTCTTCTATATAGAATGAGCGATACTTGTATAGATTTCTCAAGTGTTGTTTTCTTTATTTGAGAGAAGAAGAAAACTATATCTTTATGAAAAATTTTTTTTCTTTTTCTAGAAAAACAAAGATAATTTCAAAACAAAACAATCAAGTAACGAAAACAGTATCTGCTGATCCAGTGGGAGATGTATATGCAGCTCGAGCACTGGAAGAACAACGACTACGACGTTTGAAAGTATGTTCCCAGCCTAAGAAAAACACAACACGAATACCAATGATTTTGTTTTCTCTTCAAGCATCGTAATATCAAAATTAATGAAGAATTAGAAAAAGTGAAAAGCAAAGAGTATCTAGATGAATGGAAGGAAGATTATCGTTCTAGTCAGCAACAATTACGTCGTAAGCGATTGGTGAAAGGCAGAGGTAATTGACAACTGTATTGAATATTCATTCTCAATTGTTATTCTAATAGATTATCCTGAAGCTGTTGTACAAGCTCCCTTCGGGATTGATCCAAATTATATTCAAGTGATGAATAAAGATCAGCAAGAAATGGTTGAGAGAGCTGTGAAATATGAAAGTCGACGACATCGTTCACCTGAAAGTGCGATGCAAGAAGAAGAAAATCGGTGAGTTTTTACTGGCTGGTCTTCCTCGGACTAAACACATTTTGCGTTCAGGCGTACACGCGATCGACAACTTCAAGCTCGTATTCGCGAAATAACGGGTAAAATAAGGGAACGCCGTAATCGAGCACCAGGCAATGCTTCGGAAGACAAACACCAAGCGGAATTAGAACTTCACGAAGTAAGATATCCATGTGTGTCCATTCTTTTCGAAAATCTCGTTATTTCTAGCTACGAAAACTTCAAAATGAAGTCCGTCAACGACGTATTCAGATCAATACTCGTTTTAAAGCTTACACTGGTGATGTAAAAGCTCGTAAAAAATTGTAATTCCGAATGTCTTTGTTTGTAAAAAAAATTCTCTTCGCTTGAATAAAATTTGATTATCTAATCCTATGATGTCAGATCTTGAATATTTGCGCTTGACGAAGTCGAAGCGATCANTATTTCTAGCTACGAAAACTTCAAAATGAAGTCCGTCAACGACGTATTCAGATCAATACTCGTTTTAAAGCTTACACTGGTGATGTAAAAGCTCGTAAAAAATTGTAATTCCGAATGTCTTTGTTTGTAAAAAAAATTCTCTTCGCTTGAATAAAATTTGATTATCTAATCCTATGATGTCAGATCTTGAATATTTGCGCTTGACGAAGTCGAAGCGATCAAGGAAAGAATGTCCGTGTTTTTCGCGCAAAAGAACAAGAAAGTAACATGTTTTACTTTCGATTTTTAATTGAACGAGAAGAATTTGGCGTTACCGTGTAATTGATACTAGACTAGCCAGTAATTAGTCGTTCGCCCCCAATTAACAATCAATGATCAGCCATTGGTCTCTTCGACTATTATACCCTCAAGGCAATTTCACATATTGAGCACACGAGAGACTCAAAATTGAAGGTGGACGAGACATGTAAGTACATACATACATACATACAAAAGAACAAAGACGAACAAATGGACAATACCCTCACATGTAATTATAGAACGCGAACGATGATGATGAACAAAAGGAAAAAGAACTTTAATTGTTATTTTTGCTTAACTTATTCATGAAACCAATCAGAAAGAGGTTTGGATTGGAAGACTAATCCGAATTTTTCTCTTTTACGAATAGTCACTCATCAGGTGGTCCTAATCGTTGATTAATTTCAAGAAGATCAGGTACTTAACAATGGATAAGAAGAAAACAAGAATATGTCGAGTGTTGTTTGGTCTCAAAACACTTTTTTTTCGTCTTGTTTTCTCTCTTCGTCTATGAAAACAACATTTTTCCCAATCGGTAGAGCTTCTCACCGATGAACCAATATTTTCAAACAGTGCTCATTCAGTTCATTGCATCGATTATATAACCACATGAAGTTTGTGCTTGATGAAGTTTTAAATCATCACTCCTCCTTTTTCTTCTCTGGTGACAATTTGAGCTCGTGGCTAAATTTGACGCATTCAATGTTGTTATTACCGATCATCGAATAGACACGTGTGGACTCATGTTGACGCGACACATACATACACTAACAGAGTTCATTCATCTGATAAATCATCAACTATAGGCTATGCTTGTCTTCATTAGAAATAAGTAAGATGACCCCTACCAATTATCAATGGTAGTCAAATCGGACAGGCGCGTAAAAGCGAAGGTGATGTCTTCACATTCGACTCCACCCATTGAGTGAAAAGAAAACGAAAACGTTGATTTCCGATTTTCTGACACTTGACTCAAATTAAAGTTGATGACAGTGAGAGAACATGTCTTAAATCTCTTACTCTCCTCTCTCTCTCTCTCTCTTAACAAAGATTAAAACTGAATAAAATGACTGTTCCATTTACCCTCCGGAATGAATGTATCAGGCAATATGTATATATACATGTATAGTGTATACACAAAATCTTTATTCAACTCATCTCGTGATAACAAGTAGTACAAGAACAAAAACGCGAAATGAAAATGTTGATGCGGATGATGACGATGACAATAAAAAGAAAAAGTGCCCGAGAGAGAAACAAAAATGGCCCGTATATAGCACTGTGTAAAAAAAATAAACCCAGACGAGAGAAAACAAGATGAAAAAAGGAACGAAAATGAGAATTATTGATACCCAAAACCGGGAACAAGAAAAGAGCGAACGGAAGAGATATTCTTGTCTAAGACAATGAAGACGTCGCAACGATGCTTGCCATATTTATTTGATACATATCTTTCACTAATTGTTCCATGTGTGTTTTATCTCCGATGGTCTTTCGAAAGAAGAGTTCTTCGATGGTTATCGATGATATTGAACGTAGGCCCGCGAGTAAATGAAGTAACTTGCCGAATCGATGTGGTTGGGATGGATATTGTTTATTGATGTATGTATTCAAGAGGATTTGAGCTTGTTCTTGCAAGTAGGCGATGCTGTGTAGATCATGTAATTGTGGATTTGTCATTGTTTGACAATTGCTTAGGACGGTTTTAAATAGAACAAGACTCTTCAAACAGATAAATTCATTGGCATCGATGTCCATGTGTTTAAATTTGATTAGTAAATCTTGAAAATGTTCAATATCTGACTTGAGATTTTCATATTTACCTACCGAAGAAAATCAATTCGTATCCCGATGAACAAAACAAAATCAATCTTACCTGATTTACTCAGGAGTTCAATGTTATTCAAGGAGAATTGCTGTTCGGCAGCAGTGAGAATAAATAAATCACGCCAGCCTTCTTCCAATAGCGAAAGCTAAACAGAAGAATATATTAATTCCCACAGACGAATATTTTATATTCATACTTGATCATGATTGGATAGAGATACAAACGCCGGCACAGTTTTCGCCCAATTAATAGCACTGAATAAGATTCGTGCAGCCGATTCGTGAGCATCAAATGGATTTTCGGTGATGGATGTTCGTAGATCGAGAGGATATTTCGGTGTTGGATGAATCAGTGAAGGATTTGTTGGCGTGGTACTATAATCAATTCCGTTTGTCGATGATGACGACGATGAAGATGATAATGGATGGTGAAACGATGGAGGCATGGGATGTGGACGGTGTTGGAAGTGATGTTGTTGATGATGATATGCACTGATTAAATCACTTGATTCTTTTAATAAGAGAGCCATTTGTCGTCGTATTGTTGAATTTCGTGGTCCTCGTTCATGTTGAACAGCTATTGTATACGATGAAAAAGTAAAAAGTTATTTTTGCTCTAGGTATGTTTTTTCATTTAGTCATTTGAAGAACTAACACACTTTGAAGTGGATAAATAGTCGGATGAAGTAGTGTTGAGTAAGTGAAAGAAAAAAAACCCCGTGTCAAAATTTCTTTCTAAAGCGATTCTGTCTACAGCGAAATTAAAAATAAACAAATACCTTCTTTATTCATTCCAGCTTCTAAACATCGTGTTAGACGACAACTTCGACATTGATTACGATGAGTTTTGTCAACAGGACAATTGCCTAGGCCATGATTTTTACATACATATTGCCGATTCCGTCGAATAGAACGTTTGAAAAAGCCCGCACATCTATGACAAGAGAAAGACAAATGTATATAGACATACTATCTCACTGACGATAGAGAAACACATCGAAACGAACAATAGAGAAAACACGTACCCCTGAATGAATGTTAATTGTTAGTAAAGAAGAAGAATTAGTTGTCAGCGAAAGATGATTAAATGAACTTACCCGTCACACGCAAAGATTCCATAGTGTTTGCCCGATGAATTATCATGACACACTTTGCAAGGCACATCTGTCAAGATTCGACCTAGAGAAGATGTGAAAGAGCGAGTTCGTGAAATGATTCTTTCGTTTTGTTTCAATTTACTAGATGTTGTATTCATTTGTCGATGTCCGTTCATTGATGAAATAAAAATTCTGAAATGGATAGGCCACTTTATGTTAAAAGAGAAAAGAGAGAACGACAAAAAGTCGAACCACCATTCAGAGAATAGTATGCATACAAAATCAATTCATTGGGTGGTGTTTGATATGTCTATGTATATATATTTCCTTTCTCCTCTCCTTTTCTTTTCTTCTTTCTCTTTTCTCTCCCTCTCTTTCTCTCTATCCATCGAGTTTGGCTCATGACATTCAAAGAAAAAAAGCCAAATTTATTCTCATTGGTTCGACTGAAAAGAAAAAAAGTCAATACAAAGTGAAAATACAATCTCTATGTTTCGAAAATTTGCTTTGAGTATCCACCTCTTTTTTGCGATTTTTTTGTTACTTTTTACACAGGTAAAATGCCGAGGCAAAAGTTAGAAAGAGAAAACGAAAGTAAGCAAGGTGATTTCATCCTAAATCAACAGAAAATGAAATGAATTTTACATGTCAATTTGGGAGGGAGAGAGAGAGAGAGCGCAGACGGCGGCGACGAAATACCAAACGAAAATATTGAAAGCAAAGATGAGCACGACATGCTCAGAGACACTTTTTCGTCTTATGTATGAACAATAATTGGTCATTGTCTAAAAGTGTATCTTCTAATGATATGTGAAAAAACGAGAGAAATGGAGACAATAGGATCGGGAGGATAGTCGACCTCGTCAATCGATAGGTAAATGTCGTTGTCGTGTATTCAAGATCCTTGTGCTAAGCTTCACTACTCATATGATTGTATGATGTAGGTTCCCTTTCTCTCTCCTCGAAGATTTTTCTAATCGTCAATAGACATTTGTGCATGCTCTATTTGCCAAAGAAGAAAATTACTATTCGACTATATTACTGGTTCCATTCAATCGATAACGACAACGACCACAAACAAATAAGCGAGGAGGGAGAGAGAGCGAAACTACCTGCCTGTCAAAGATTAGTGCCTGTTACTATTTGAATGACAAAGCGAACGAATGTTGATCGTGCTCGGTCAATATTGCACGCACACACGCGTGTGCATATATTTGTTAGTATGACTTTATTAGTATCGATATTCGTAGCGGAATAATCAAGTCAATATAGGGAAAGAAGAAAAAGGACGAAAAGGAACTGAATGCTGGTCTAGAAGAATATGTATTTCTTTTTTTTTCTGCATTAAGCTGCTTATATGATTGAAGACGAGAAGCAAAAGAAGCGAAGAAGAAAAAGAAGACACGTACATTGATCGAGGTCGAAGGCAAAAAGGTATCCTTTTGAGATATCAAATTGCTTGTTTCAAATGAAATTTTAGTAGTGATGGACAATGACAAGTCCGACAACAAACAGGGCGGCACAAATTAAAAGAAGAGAAAAAAAATGATCATCATATACCATTGAAATCGGTACGTGTGAGCATGAGCCAGTAAAAGATCCGCTCTGATGTCATCTCCTTCTTCTTCACTAATCTCCTAACATGATCGAACAAGTTCAACAGTATACTTTTTCGCAAGGTGACAGTTTGATGAAGACAGTTACATCACGTTTGTGTTGATAATTATGTTGAACTTGTTGTCTTACAAACAAAAAAATAAACTTTGCCAAATCAAAAAAAACGAAAAATCTCAGAGTATTATTTTTGTCTGTCAAATAGAGCACACGCATACAAGCAAACGTGCGTGTCAATATGAAATTAGTTATTTGTCAATTTTTATATATTCATATCGAACGAGATTTTTTTGTTTCTTTATTAGTATGTCTGTTATTTGCAAATTACACTTTGAACGAATAGACAGACGAACAAGTCTTTTGAAGCGATTGAACGCGTGTATTTAAGAGAAAGTGTTATTTGGTTTGAAATGATTGTTGCCGCTTTGTTGATCACATGTGACACATTCTCAATTATTAGATCGATTAAAATACTGATTCAATCTTTGCTCTTACGTAAACATCGAAGAATGTGTGAGTAAGAGAGGGAAAGATTGAAGAGTTCATTTGATACATACAAATGAAGTTCAAAGAAAGTTAAAACCGATAGTAGCTGACGTTGATGATGACCTATCGGGAGGATTTAATTTTTGTCACACACATGAAATTTGACTTTGTTTCAGGCGAGGAGAAAAGGGATAATCATGGGACGCATACACGAGCATCATTGTTCAAGTCAACATGTGCATTGGAGAACATGCACGCCTGTATGTATAGATGTGTTATAATCCTTCTTGTTTGTAAGGTGAAAGGAAACAGAGACAATGGTGATTTAACACAGGAGGGTCAAATCGACCATCCGTCTTACTCGCAATTTCGTTCCCTGTTCAACTAGCCTTGATAAGTGTGTTTAAATGTGCTGATTTATTTCTTCTCTCGTTGTATATTTGACAATCAAACATTCGTTAAATCACCATATCACTTCTCGATTTTGCCGCTTATTCATTATCAACAATGGTGGTAGGATAGTTGATGTATCTCGCAGGTGACTATCGTTTGATCCTTCAAGAGAGAGAAAGAGAGAAACACATCTACATTGACAAATTGTTTCACACCGACTAATTGCAGGTGGGCGGAGGGACAAGTGTAACGAACAAGCTCTCTCCAATTGATTGAAATCATCACTTCATTCTCAAATAAAAAAAAAGATCAACAACGTTTGAAAAGATTCTTCACTCTCACTGTCAATAGAAGATTTCAGAAGAGTGTCTCTTTCACACCTCGCACGAGCGACATCATCCGACAGAAAAATGAAACAAAATTGGGAGGAGGTTGGTCGGGAGCAACATTGTGGAAACCATAGATGCAAAAGACAGTGATACAAAAAAAAAACGCAAACACTTCTGACAAATTCCTTCGATCATGAGTGCCACAATTAATACTTATTTCGGAGGTTCGATTCATATTAGATTATCTACGCAATTCTAATGATTGTCTATCAATATAGATCAACAGCAAACGAACGGAACACCAGATATTGGAAATGAATTAGAAAAGCATTATATCGATGCAAAAGCATATATTTTATCAACAACAACGAAAGATGGAGTAAATCTGTAAATAGGACTATTATTTCTCATTGACTACATGAGAATTGATTCATTTTGTCTTTGTCAGATACGATCATCTTGCGCATTGTATAACTCGATTGCTCTCTGAACAACCTGGTAAGAAATCTCAACGGTTGAAAACGTCAACCCAAGTTGTTTGAAATGATTTCTTTGTAGAAGATGGTGCTGATATGTTGGAAGATATCAGTAAAAGTATTAAAGGTGAATCAACTCGACCACAACAGGATACACTTCGGGATCGACCTGCTCATGACACGGAGCATATTTTAGCCGAAGAACAGAAACCACTTTTTCAAGTAAATCCTCGCTTTTCTTTCCATTTTCAACATTCGTAAATTTTTCTCGAGCAGAAAGTTGACAATACGGAAGAATTTGATGAAGAAGCATTGCAATCGCCATTACCATACATTCTTGAACAAGCATACTATTTTGAACAATCTGGTATCGGCCTTGGGAAAGACGAATCCTATCGGTAAGAGGAAAATCAGATTGAACTATTGAGAAAAAAAGTCTTTTTCGCTAGGATTTGGTTGTCACTGAAGCAACTAGTCGACAAAGGTCACATTGAAAAAATTCGCTTTTGGGGTAAAATTTTCGGCACACAGAAGAATTATTATGTCGCCGAAGCGGAACAAAGTGTTGATGGCGCTGACGATGATGCACCACCACCAGTCGAAGACAACAACAAGCCTGAAGATAATCAAGAGCTCAATGACGAAGAACTTCAAACTGAAGTCGATCCATTACCGAAATCATCATACAAATCACCACCGGTTATACCAAAAGAAGATCGTGGTACTGGTGTAAACAAATATACCTACTATGTTTGCAATCACCGTACGCATTTATTGTGAATAGTCAGTGGTATCTTATCTTGATTTCTTTGTTCTAGCTGGAGCGCCATGGATTAAACTTCCCAATGTTACACCAGCACAAATTACTCAAGCACGCTTGATAAAACACTTCTTTACCGGAGATTTGAATAAGGAAATCATCTCGTATCCATCATATCCTGGCACAGAGAAAAATTATTTACGTGCACAAATTGCTCGAATTAGTGCTTCGACGCACGTCTCACCAGCTGGAAAATTCAGATTTTCTGAAGTAAAATGAAAATCCTATGAAGTGTTTCAATAAATGATTCGTTGTTTTTTAATAGGAAGAAGAGGAAGAAGAAGAGAGTGCTCGAGAGAACTATCAAGAAAACGAAGATTTCAAAGGTGCAGCATTAGCAGAATTAGTCGACGAAGAACTGAATGGATGGGTAAGACATCTGTAGCTTTTTTCGCCTATTTAAAATAATTGTGTGAATGTCATTAGGTTCATCATGCCCAATACATTCTCCCGCAAGGCCGAACAAAATGGTGGAATCCAAGTGAAAATGCTGAGAAAGAAGAGGAAGACGAGGACGAGGACGAAGAAGAAATGAAAGCCGAAACAGAAGAAATCGAACCCGAACAAGGTCC